AGGTATTATATAAATAGTTGAATGCAAATATGGGCCAGGGAACTGGAGATAAAAAGTGGACAAAATAAAGAGTCTACACTATGAAGTGATATTTTATATTCTAGTGATAGAAAGTAAAAAAATAAATAAATAAAAACAAATGATTATAAATAATGCTAATCAAATAAACAATTATATTAATTGTGAGACAAACACAAGCTTTGCAGAACATCTAAACAACATTTTATGTACAATGAACAGAGAGAGCTTTCTGGAAGTAGAGCTTAATGAACAAGGGCCTGAGTGAAAAGCCATCAAGTAGGAGCAAGAGCTAGCTCATTAAGGGCTTTGTAAACCAGGTTAGGTAGAAGAAAGGGAAGAGAAACAGAGTAGCAGATAAAAGAGAAAAAATAGTAAATCAACAGATGGAAGAAGGGAAGGAGAAAGAAAGAGGGGAAGGAGGAAGGAAAACAAGATAGAAATATTTTGTGAGCAATAAAAGGCCATTGCTATTAGAAAACATAAAATCTTGTTTTGGAAATAAAACGGTTAATGTAACAAGATAAAGGAAAACAAAAGACAACCAACAGAATTCTGAGGGAGAACTAGGGCAGACTCCCCTTGACTGGGACATATACAAGAGTCCCATGACCACAGCATGGGATTTGCTAGATGTCTGAGAACAAAAAAGCCAGAAATCAGCCAAGATTTCTTAAATCAAGTTACTAGAAATATAAGATTTTGATTAAAATGGAGATGTTTCTGGGAGATTATAGTACAAAAACCTGGTTGGGGCCAAACTTTGATTATAGGCTCAAGAAAAAACAGATATAAGGATCATAAAGTAGTAGATTTGAAATTCACAAAGAGCAAAGGTTACAAGCAAGTACTATAAAGTTTCAGTAAGGAGAAAGAAAGAAGAAAGAAAGGGAAGAAAGAAAGGAAGAAAGAAAAGAAGAAAGGAAGGAAGGAAGGAAGGAAGGAAGGAAGGAAGGAAGGAAGAAGGAAGGAAGGAAGGAAGGAAAGGAAGGAAAGAAAGAAGAAAGAAAGAAAAGAAAGAAAAGAAAGGAAAGAAAGAAAGAAAGAAAGAAAGAAAGAAAGAAAGAAAGAAAGAAAGAAAGAAAGAAAGAAAGAAAGAAAGAAGAAAGAAAGAAAGAAAGAAAGAAAGAAAGAAAGAAAGAAAGAAAGAAAGAAAGAAAAAAGAAAGAAAGAAAAGAAAAAGAAAGAAAGAAAGAAAGAAAGAAAGAAAGAAAGAAAGAAAGAAAGAAAGAAAGAAGAAAGAAGAAAGAAAGAAGAAAGAAAGAAAGAAAGAAAGAAAGAAAGAAAGAAAGAAAGAAAGAAAGAAAGAAAGAAAGAAAGAAAGAAAGAAAGAAAGAAAGAAAGAAAAAGGAAGGAAGGAAGGAAGGAAGAAAGGAAGGAAAGAAGGAAGGAAGGAAGGAAGGAAGGAAGGAAGGAAGGAAGGAAGGAAGGAAGGAAGGAAGGAAGGAAGGAAGGAAGGAAGGAAGGAAGAAAGGAAGAAACATTTCAGGTCAGGGGACAAAAGAAGTGGTAGGCCCAGAATAGGATGAGTTGCACTTGAGAGGATGCATTTGTGTCTCTCATTGAATGCTCTGGAGGCCCAGCTTCAGGGAATCACAGGCAGTTGATAGTTTGTAGCCTAAGTCTAGTTTTGTGGGCTGGCCTCTCTCAATTTCCCTGGAATTTATGGGTCCTTTTGTGAAAGGAGAGGCATGTATTACTTCCATTTGCTTAATACTCTCTATTCCTGAACAAATACTCCTGGATATTATACTTTATAGTCACAACTCACGTTCACATGCAAATCTTAAACCTAATAAAGTTAGATTCATATAATCAAGCTAGATCCATTAAGCTAGGACATATTGTCATTGTGGACATGTAATGATTAATTTCCAGTAATGTATATCATTTAACAGAAGGGGGCACTTTAGCAGAGTTTCATGGAAATTAAAAAGTAAACACTTTATGTGCCAAAATATATTTTATGAAGAATTTTCTTATTCCGTTTATTTACTGCACAAATCATGAATAAAGTAATTGTTAAAGTCAGAAAATCTATTACTTTCATTGAGTTGATATTCAACTCTGGCAACTTATAAAAGCCCTCATTTTTATCATTTATAATTTTTATTTGTTAACTCCTCTTTGAAATTGTTCTGTGTTTCCTCTCTGGTTAGGCAGCTTAGTGCTTTAGAAAAACTACTTGATTAACAACAAAAAGACCTGAATACTACGCATAATTCTGCATATTTTTTAATTGTATGTGTGTGTGTGTGGGGGGGGAGAACGACACAGTAATTTTCATGAATTCAAAGACTATGCCTGTTTAATTGACACTAAGTTCTCAGAGCTTAGCAAAGATGTGGACTGTTGAAGCTGCATAATAACTACTAGTTGTATGAATAAATGAGTGAATGAATGAAGTCACTGAGCCTTCTGAAGCTCAGATTTCTCAGAAATATATGATCACAGAAATGTGATCATATATATATATATATATATATCACACATATATATGATATATATGTGATCTCAGATATATATATATATCTTACATTAATATGTAATTATATAAGTTCCTGAAAAAATAAAACACATATGTAAGAAAATTATTTTTATTATAAGCAATGCTAAAATTCAATTTGACTTTCCTGATTCCCAGAATATTGTCTACTTCACAATAGTTCTCTGTGAGCCTCTTAACTTTTCAGGTTAGTTGAAAGGGGAAAAAAGTGCAGCGATAACATTTGAAAGGACTGACTTTCTTCGTCATTTATGTTATTGGAACAAAGATCCGGATCATTTCAATAGCACTTAATCCTACAGTAATATGTACTTGGCATTGGTATGTGTTTTTGTATGTTTAGGTGAATGAAGGGTGTCTGATGTTCTAGTAACTGAACTAAAACAAAATAATGACGGTACAGTGACAATACCTAGTTCAGGATTTCCTCATCTTAAGGTTTCCGCACCTTAATCCATACTGACTGACATTGCTCTGAATTGGTATCACCTTTTTCATCCCCTGAATGACGGGATTCATTTATTTAATTTCCAAGTGGTATATCAATTGGGTGACTGACATGGGATAGAAAAATAAGTTCAACATAGCTGAATGGGAGAATACATAGACAATATCCACACTGCAATGTAATATTGCTTCTTCCTCTCCCACCCAAAACACTTACCACAGGGAGTTAGAAGCTTCAGATAGGAAAGCATAGCCTGTTCTTTACCATGTTAACTTGGGGGGGAAAAAAGAGTTTCAACTGCTTTTCTTTAGAATATTCAAATAATAGGGGGAAATGAAATTTTCTTCCAACTATCTTCAGATTTAAGGAATATATCTAGGTAAAATTATCCATCATCAGGATAATTTTTACATTGACTATTTTGGCTCTATAATATAATTCTTAAAGTTTTCTGTGCTTCGCCCTGACAACTTTCTGGCTCAAAGTGAAGTTAGCTGTCTAAGACTCTGCACAATGCCATAAAAATCTCAGGAGACTGAGTTTATAGCATACGATTTTTTTTTATTTTGTCATGTATTTTATTTATAAATATGTTATCAACCCCATGGGTATATTGTCTTTAATTTGATGATATTCAGAATAGACTATGGTCATTAATTATAAATATGTATAATTAGGCAATATAGCAACATGTACCATGTCTACCACTCAACTAATCTGGATTTTCCAGGCAACAATTTGTTGCATTAATCACCCAGCTATAGCTAATCGGCCATCAACATCTAGAGGGGTCTACTTAGCTAATCTAAAAATATAACATTCATAAATCTTAAGGAAGTTCCTTTCTAACAGATATATGATCATAGTAGTAGCTTTACTTCTTTAGAAAAGAATTTTTTTTATTATTTTAACTAATTTTCTTTTGTTTTTTGTTTTTAGGCTATATAACAAATGCTATCATCATTTTAGTACTAAAGAGCCTTGTAAGTTCTAAGAAGTGTATCATCCTACTGAGAAAAAAAAACACAAATTTATTTAAAGGCAATACTTTGTTTTCCTACATGATAAGGCCACCATTAGTTGTTTCTAGATGAAATTAGCCAAAGAAATCTTCCACAAAAGAAATTAGTTGATAATACATTATCATAATACTTATGATCCTAGACTATCAGAATGGGGTCAATAATAACAACAAAGAAAATTTTGACCCAAAAATATTGACAAATAAACACAAACCTCACTTTATAAAGAAAATTTAAATAGCAATGATGAACAGATAATAACACTTAGTTATATTTTGAATATTTAAATAATATTTAGAAAAAAGCATTTTAAAGTACAAAACACTCACCACTATTTTTTTTTAAATATAAACCATCATGCTTTCTATTTATGAAATTATTTAAACCAAGCATCTGATCACTTAGGGATATAAATGTCATAGACACAGAGATTTGGCAAATTTTTTTAGCATTTCATTCCATTAGTAGAAAGAGATTACTATTTTTTAACATTGAATCTAAGTGAAATTAGCTCGGTTCAGCATTGCAGAACCAAAGAATCTTTACGGTCCCTAAATAAGTTTTGAATTTTTGTCTTTTAGATCTCTCTCTGCCTTATGTCTAATAATCTATATTTTATTATTAAAATAAATATCAGCCATTAATCTTTGACCTTCATTAAGACTTTTGAAGTTATTCTGTTACGGTATCCATTTTAAATATGATTTTTTTAAAGAGAGCAGAATGTAATTGTTCTAGAAGATTTAGTCATAACCAAAGCAGAAACCAGGAATAACCATAAAAAAACATTTCTCAGAGGATAATTTAATGGCATTACTAAAAGTGTGGGAATCCATTTACCACTTAGATGATTAGGAAAGGGGTTATTAGCTAAGCCATTGTCTAAAACCCACTGAATCACTGGCCCTTTTGAAAAATGATTGGTCCCTTTTTTATAAAGATGGGTTTTAAAATAGGAGATGTTCTAAGCAGCAGAGCTGAAAGATAAAGGGAGCACAGACCTTGCATGGATCTAGTATCACTTCATAGGCAAAGGAGTAAGGTAATTTATCAAATCTTTACTTTCATAATATTAAAACCAAACTCAGGATAAATCCTACAGGATAGCCTACCAAGGTCACCCTAACTACTTGTGTAGATCAGTGATTTGAAGTAGGGCAGGGTTTTCACATTTGGAGGATAAAGCATAATATACTACCATGGGTAGCACTATATATCAATATTGCAACTTAATTTTAGAAGCTTTTTTCCTGAGTTAAAAAACTATTGACTCAGGGTGTGTGTTATTTTTGTTGGTTTGTTTGTTTGTTTTTAGTTTTCATATATAGTTAATGTTATTAGACTTTTCAATGTAAATTATTTGGTATTAAACTGCTACTGTCAGATCTTTATTGTAGTATTTTTACTACTACATTAAATGGACATTAAAATTGTTTTTATAATAAGGATCCACTCATAGGCTCTCCCATGGTCAAAGGGACTCACTCCTCTTTATGTAGAACAGCTCAAGCATCAGGCCATCTTGTCTGTACCTCATTCAACTACATCATAAGCCACTAAATGAGTCATTTGGTCAAGCTAAAAGGATGAGCTAATGATTTTTGGTTTGTCTCTGTGAGAGAAAACAATAATATATATTACATATATTTATATTTTATATTAAATTTTAATATATAGGAAAATACTGTAAAATTCACCCAATTGCTCTTCTCTTTGAAAAATACCAACTAATTATTACCATGATTTTTATGTAGTTTTTTTAAAGCTAAATTTCTTTTTTTTCCCCCTAGGTATTTCATCTGAAAATGAAAACCATAATTCTTTTTGGGCTGCTGGGAGCCACACTATCAGCCCCGGTAAGTGATCTCATGGTAGAGCTGAAATCACTGCGTAAAATCTTTAATAAATCCTAAATCCTTCTTTTATTTTTTTTTTATTTTTTTTTTTTTTTAGATTATCCCACAGCGCCTTTTGTCTGCAAGCCACAGCAATGAGGTGAGTTTTGATACTTAAAATACCTCCTCCTTTTTGTTTGTTTTGTTGAAAGTCCAGTGGGGAAGAGATAAAAGCCAAAAATCAAAATCTAGTTAGAGGCATTAAAGATTCTTTGGTTTGTCAGTGCTCTTATATCCACATGCATTTTCAATGTTCATGCATGTTTTATATACCAGGTTCTTTCTAAAATATTATTTCACCATTATTTAAAAGCAATGAAAATATTTTGTGTACCTTTTTAATAGCACATACTTTATATGTGTATAGGTGTTTAAGGCAATCAAATGACTAATGAAACCATTTGGAATGGGCTAAAGTTGTACAATCCCACACACAGCAGGAGAGATGTAGTTAAATACTAATCTCTAATCACTGTAATTTAGTATAAACTTAGTGAGAAAACATCTCACCTCTAACAGGAACCTAAGATTAGTCAGCTCTGACTTGTGCTATATTTGTGTATACACTGATCTTAATAATTTTACTGGGTGGTAATGTTATTTTCATATCCTTTCCTTTTCTAGCTACTGCTGAGTCTTAATAATGCTCAACTTCAGCCACTACAGCTTCAGGTATCTCTACCTCAATAATTATTTTAAGAATATTTTTCTACTTTTCATTTCTTATTATGACACTTTTTATGAGAACAAGATGTTTTTTGATGTCATTTCTGAAATTTCCATTTTTAAAATTATGAATTTGCCCCATATGTTCTAATTACCATTTGTTGGAACACTAAAGTAAAAACTATAATCTGACTAATACTTATTTTTTGAGAACTTGGTACATGCCAGTCACAGATTCTCAGAGCTATGAGATTATTAAATTAACTATTTTACAAAAAGTCATACTCAGTTAACTGGGTTTAAAAAAAAAAAAAAAAGATTCAAACCCAGTCTGGCAACTCAGGAACTATACTCTTTATTGATCTCATTCTGTTCCATATGTCTCTTAATCCTTGGGAATTTAGCATTGTTCATGCTTTTTGCATGGCTCATAATGTGCTAAGATGCTGTGTTTTTCTAATAATGCAGCAATGAAAATATAGAAATTGTTCATTTACTCAGGTCTGATTTTCAATTGTTTCTGAAATGAAAAAGAAAACCTTCCTCTTTTTCTTTTATATCATTCCAGAGCCCCTTTAATGCATGGATTCCTTCTTTCTCTGGGATTCTACCGCAGCAGCAAGCTCAAATTCCGGGACTCTCCCCATTCTCCTTAGCAACTCTAGACCCGGTTGCTAGACTGTTCCCAAATCAGAGAACTTCCCCAGGACAGGTCAGCTTTGCCCAAGGAAACCAGGTGGGACAACTGGACCCGTCACAGCCTCAAGCACCAGTGCAGACCCAACAGGGCCCTAATAATGTAAGTCAGACCTCTTCCATCTTGAGATAATGTATGTTGAATATAAACATAAACATGAGTCAGCTTTACAATAAGACAACAGTTATTGAGCAAGAATTCTTCCCCACAATATGTTTATACCATCACAGGAAGTTTCTTATCTTTTCTGATTTCTAAGAAGGAAAATATCACTTAACTCAACTATTATATGATAAAGCCACAAATAAAAGAAGTTAAAACATGTTTTAGAAAATATAATTGGGGAGAGGCAATTTGCCTTAATGATAATGCATATAATAGTTGACCTTTTATTGTCATAGAAATCTGCTAATATACAAATTTGTATGGAGGGACTGAGAAAAAAAAAGAAAGAGAACTCATGCACATGGACAACAGTGTGATGACTTCAGGGCTGGAGGGGGATGGGTGGATGTGGTACAGGGCATAGAGGGAATTAAAGTTGATGAAAAATCAAATTTAATCACATTTTTTTAAAATGTCAAGTAAATCCTTTATATGATTCCTTTTTTTGGCAGGCAATGCCCTATGTGTTCTCCTTTAAAATGCCTCAAGAGCAAACCCAGGTAAATAAATAAGATATCATCACTCCTATGGCTACCTCCACTTGCCATTGAATGAATGCTTTCTTTTATATTTGTAGCTCTGACTCCTGTAGCAGGGCTATAAAAACCCATCCAAGGATATCACTCTTTGGGTGCCGCTATTGCTGGGTTGGCATCAGTCTGTTAATGTCAGGCTCACTCAATAACTCCTGAAGAAAGACAAGCTAAGGAGAGTCCTCAGGACTCCTGAGCTCCCAGGGCATTACCATGTTAGGAATAAAAGAGCTCACTAAACCCTAGCTTATGTCCTTTCTGCATCTGAAGCTCTGGTAAACGGGAAAAAAATCAAGAGAACTAGCAAGGGTGGACTTTGCCCAACCCTAAATTTTGTTTCAGAGGAAAATGTATTAAATTGATAAACTATGATATAATAATAATATAACGTAAAGATAAGAAACACTTGCCCACATTATTTGAAAATTATGAAGTTCTGGTCAAAACATTTCCAGGTTCTTGCATATTGTTAATCAAATTCCATATTACAATCAAATGGTGGCGATTTTCAGAAAATAGGAGAATCTTAAAAATATGAAGGTGAACTAGTAGAATCATTAGGTTAATATGGAAAATCCTCTCAAGAGTAGGCTAATTCTATAATATCCTGGGTTCAAAGAAATAGGAATATTGGTAAATCATATTATTCACCACCAGAGTACTGAGCATTTATAAAAGTTTACACCACTAGACTACACTGTAATCATAATTATGTAATTTTGTACCACCCAAAACAAACCAAAAAATTACTTCTAGACATTATCTCACTGTATTCCATAGCATTTAGAGAGTTAGATACATGGTGCAGAATTACTTCATTTTAAAGATCAGGAAAATAAGTCTTAATGAGATTAAATTCCCAATCCTAATAAAACTAAATAGCAGAGTTGAAATCGAATTCTTCACCTTTTCTTTAAGTACTAAAATAGTGTTTCTCTGCCCTGGCTTGGTATTCGAATCTCTGGTAGTAATTCTGAAAATTACAATTGCCTAGAACCTTCCCATACCTAATGAATCAGAACCTCATGAGTAGATCCCAAATATGATTAACTATTAAAATGCTCAATAGGTGATTATGATTTTTATACAGGATTAAGAATCACTGCACAAAATAAAATTTCCAAACCACAGTTGTTGTTTTTTACTTCTTATAACATTACAAAAGGAAACAAAATATATAAAGTTTTATGCATTTACTATGATTCCCATTTTTAACAAACATATGCAAGTATAGACACACAGGCATAAGTGGAAGCCAAAACTTGATTATGTGGATGGTGAAGTTACAGGTAATTTTATTTGTTCCTTATCTCTGGATTCTCAAAATATACAAAAATGCATAAGGATTGGTTTAACTAAACTATCAATTATTAAGGGCAATATATTCCTGACATCACAATATATTCCTACCATTATTCATTATGGTAGAACTGCCTGTACCATGTTCTGCAGAATGATGATTCTCCCAAAACATAAGGGAAATGCTATGTAGGCTATCCTCCTCTTAGATATTTGTAAAGTAATTAGTGCATAAAATGTAAAATTTGTACATTAAGTCCAAAGTGTGCTTTTACAAAAACCTATTATTTAGTTGAACACAATCCTTCCTAAATGTGTTTGACCAAACAGCCTTGAAACAAAGTCCAATCCAGTATCACGTGCAACGCAAGTTGTTTCTAAAGGTTAGGAAGGAATGCTTTTGTCTCTTTTTTTTCCTATAAAATTGCTAAATATGAATCTGTTTTAAAATAATATTGACATTAGAAGAATTTTTTTAGAAGGACTATGCTGATTCATTTCTGTTTACAAAAATAGATGCTTCAATACTATCCGGTTTACATGCTCCTTCCCTGGGAACCTCAGCAAACAGCCCCAGGGTCACCTCCACAAGCAGGACAGCAGCAATTTGAGGAGCAGGTACTGCAAGTGTTTGATTTTAGTTTAACTACCTCTAGTTCCATCTGAGAAAGGAGAATTTTAAGAGAAAAGAATAGCTAAGTACATTTAGTGAAAAAAAACAAACAACTCAATAGTTTGAACTGTGGTAGTCATAAAAGAATTTGGTGTTTTTTCTTAATGTACCACTAATTTGGAAATGTTCTAAGACTGTATTTCATTATTTTTTTTAATATATACATTTTTATTTATTTATTTATTTATTTATTTATTTATTTATTTATTTTTTACAGAGAGGAATGGAGAGGAATAGAGAGTTAGAAACATCAATGAGAGAGAAATATAGATCAGCTGCCTCCTGCACACTCCTTACTGGGGATGTGCCTGCAACCATGGTACATTCCCTTGACTTGGAATCAAACCTGAAACCCTTGAGTCCACAGGCCCACTCTCTAGCCACTGATCCAAACCGGTTAGGTAAGACTGGATTTTAAAATAATGAGATCAATGAGTGGATTGATAAGAGGCCAAAAACTAAATCATCTTGGAAAATGAAGTTTTCTAACTTAAGAAAATCTGCCAGCATCACTCTGGTCATATATACATATAGTTATTATTAAAAATAAAAACAAACCCTGGCCAGTTAGAGCATGGGCCCATACACCAAAGGGTCATGGATTCCGTTCCCAGTTTCAGGCATATAACTGGATTGCAGGTTCCGTTCCTGGCCAAGGCTCAGGATATATGGGGAAGGCAACCAATCCATGTGTCTCTCTCACATCAATGTTTCTCTATCTATCTATCTATCTATCTATCTATCTATCTATCTATCTATCTATCTATCTAACCCTCCCTCTCTTCCTCATTCTCTCTCCTTTCCTCTCTATAAAAATCAATGGGAAAAGAATATTCTCTGGTGAGGATGAACAAAAATAAAAATTTTAAATGAAAATAGCTACCATAATAAAAGTTACATATGATCACCAGATCTTGAGATACAATTAGATAACATTACACTAAGCTTTGTGGAGCTGCAGTACATTTTTAGAATTCTAATATAAATCCAGGAGGCTCATAATAACTAGGTTTCTTTTCATTAGAATGGGGAAAATAATATTTTACACAACTCTAAAATTTGCCAAACCAAATTAGAGAAAACTGAAAATTTATGCTTTAAACGATTGATAGCAATAATTCTAATTGTCATGCTAAATTAGAGAAAGAAAAAGTTTTAACCTAGAAATCATATACTGTTGAAAGGATGTTTAGTTATTTAACATTTTTTGCCACCAAGAACTTATGAACATTCAAAAAAGCATTTTGTATAATATAAATGTATACATATTTCAGCCCTGGCCAGTGTGGCTCAGTTGGTTGAGCATCGTTCCCTGCACCAAAGGTCACTGGTTTGATTCCCAATTAGGGCACATATTCATGTTATAGACTAAATACCTATCACATTGATGTTTCTCCCTTTCTCTCTCTCTCTTTGTCTCTCTCTCTCTCTCTCTCTCTCTCTTTCTCTCTCTCTCTCTCTCTCTCTCTCTCAAAAAAAGAAATCAATGAAAAAATATATATATAATTTTGTGTTATCATTTAACACAAAATTATGACAAAAACATCAGAATCTAATGCATTTTTTCAAAAATCTAACAGATGCCATTCTATACTCAATTTGGATATATCCCACAACAAGTCGAACCTGTAAGTAAATGAATGCCTTTTCAAGTTTAAAAAAAAAACTACCTTTTAAAACTATTTGCTTCAGGATTTATTAAATCTATAAATACCCTAGCTGAACAAAGTTGGATTTATCTATTCATTGCAATAAAGAAGGACACACACAATGGGGAACAGGAAGATACTGAAATAACTTCACATAGGATCTGGGGTTGTCAGGTGATTTGGGGCAAGTTCAAAGAGTGCTGGTTCACTCTGGTTCTATGATTGGGTAACAAAGATTCTTATTTTAAAGGAGGGAGACCGGGCCATGATAGTAAAGAAGCAAGAGTTGCTCAGATTAGCCAGGATTTTCATGTCTTACGCTGTGATCTTGTTTTGGACAAGATGATAAAGCAGTCTTGTTTTTGTCACTTCATTGTATTCAGAGGCAAATTTGTCCCATGTTGGTGCTCTGTAGGGATTGCTAATATTCAACAGAACACCATGGCTGCCCCAGCAGAGAATGGCGGGGAACAAGCCCCTGAGAACGTAGGCAGGGTTGTACTGTCAGACCAGTTTCCCTGTGTCGGAGCTGCTTCTCTCTTTCTCAAATCAAAATGATTATTTTTGTGTATATGAAAGTAACTTAAGAAGTTGGGAAGTGTTTAACTGCATTCAATGCAAAACAACATATTTTAGAAATTAAGTATTTAGACTTCTAACAACTTTCCAATTTTCCAGGTTATACCAGGAGGGCAGCAGCAGCTAGCCTTTGATGCTGTCATAGGCACAGCTCCTGAAACGGCTGCAATGGTAAGATTCCTTACCACACTTCGCTAGATGCATGCATTCAGCAATTTACAACTTACAGGTTCCTGCACTATTGTTTATTTTCATGAAAAACTTTTTTTATTATTATTATTCCACCAACAATTAGATCTTTGGCCAGTCAAAATTCATTTTAATCAGTTCATCAAATATTTATTGAGAGGCCATTATAGGTCAGATACTCTCCTATTATATTCTTAAACAGGTATCAACAGACACAGTCTTTCTAAGGATAGATTATAATCTAGAAAATAATAAAAGCATTTTCTTCTTAAATTAATTCCTTGCCTTGCATCTCAATTCTGTTGCTTTATATTCTTCCCAATTTGACTTTGTACTTGAACCTGAAAACACTTTGTTTTCTTTCCCATTCTCTGTAGCCAGCAGGAGGAGTGGTGCCATATTTACAAAAAAAATTGATAAACTTTAAGCATGCCAGTGGAGGAATTACCATTCCTTCAACTTCACAAAAACCCAGCACAACAAATGCTTTTGCTTCTGCCATAGACCCAACTATTACCCCAGAGCTCATGGAAGAGAAGGTAGAGTAATCAAAGATTCATTTTATGTAAGAAATTCTTGTCTAATAGAAAATATAAATTAGTGTTTAATTTATAGGAAACTTATGAAAATAATTAGTTAATGGTATATAGTAGGATATGTGATCTTGGCCCTGAATGAGGAGATCTATAATTGCTTACTGATAATTAATCAGAATATAATTTAATTTTGATCTATAAGACATTTTCATAAATGTCCTTTTTTTTTTCAATAGGCCAAGACTGGTAGCCTAAAGGAACCATAAGATGTTGTCCTAATAATGTAAAAATTTTGGTAGGTATTTACTAAGAGACCTGCATAAGTACCATGACATATCCTAAATTCAAAGAGAAAAAAAACAACTGTCAGGGGAACAATTAGAGGTCTTATAAACAAACAAGTTAGTGCTATAAAGCTAATAATCATTACGGGACTTTAGCAATTTTTTAAACCAAAATCTATACCATAAATTTGGTATAACTCTGGAAACACAAATAATAAATATACTAGGTCCATATAAAAGTCATTCTAAAGACACTATTTGCAAAGTCAATTCTCCTAAATCAGCATTTCACTTTGCAAACTACAAATTGTAATAATGTCAACTAACCTTAGATTGTTAGATTGGTTGGAATGAAATAAAGTCTTAAAGTGATACAAAAAAAATGCATAATCACCTGGAAATTTAAACCACTATGGATTTTATATCAAACATAAATGAATTACATATCCTAATGGGCTTGTTTGACTATGAGGATACCAGGTATGAGATAGAAGGACAAGCTGGCATGATACCAAAAATTTAAAAATGCACACTAAAAAATTTGGCCTAAAGGGAAAACCAAAAGGCAAGATTTTTTTAAATCTCCTCCCTGCTGCCTATAAGTAAGTCTCTTCTGATTTCTTCTTCTATGAAAATGAATACTCAGCATTCTTCAGATGAAAAAATAAAGTCTACAAAAATACAACCAGAAATAAATAGTATTAGCACTGTTTTAGAAAATTCTCTTTTTCAGTGTAAACTTTTGTACAATGCAATTTATTTAATCAGAAATATCAGAAGTATTTCAGTAGAATGTAACCTTCAATCTACATGGCAGAAAAAGTAAAGTTTTTTCCATTTATTTATTAAGAAATTGAGAAAATATATAGGAAATTTTACACAGAAATGGTCCTAAAATGTTCTTCCATTTTATTTTTCAGAGAAAAGGACATGGCAATGCCTGGGATATCATTTTAGGCTATTTGCTTCCTGACTGCTAATATCAGTCCTTTGAAATATACAGAATATCTTTGCTCTTCTTCTGAATTTCTTTTTACTTATAATTTTTCACTCTTTCAATATGTCATAGAAAAAGTAATACAATTACTTAATAACACCTATCTCTAAAAAATTGTATTTCTTTTCAAATACCCTGTCATTACATCATCTGTAAAGTAACAATGTGGATAAAACTGATACTACTAAATCAACTGAATAATTGCATTAATAAAAGATGTCTCTGAAAAATAGTGTAATTGATGAGAATAAAGATATACTGTCATTGGATTTCTGAGTGTGATGATTGGGACCGAGTTACTAAAGTATGTACTTAATTTTGGCATATCTCATTATTCCCCCCAGCACCATTCTGCTAGTTTCCTTTTGAGTGTTCTCCATTAAAATCAAAATTATTTAGTAGCAGATATCATGAAGTCCATGCTCCCAGTATGTCACAGCTACAGAGAGAGAGATGGTTGCCCTCATCCAAACAGATGGCTCCCCAGGAGGATGTATGCTTGTTTGGGGAGGCGGTATCCTATATAATAAAAGCATAGTGTGCAAATTCCCCCCTTGGCCCAGAGGTCTTCTGAGAGTTCTATCAGGGGTGGACTGGTCAGGGGAAGGGAGGGAGGCCCCAGTCTGAGACAGTAGCAGCAGAAGATCCCGATAGTGACAATGGCAGGTAGCTGGGGGAAGAAAGGGTTACCCTGGCTGGCAGCCGCTAGAGACGGTACAAGTACATGAATTTTATGTACTGGATCTCTAGTCCTATATAATGAAAGGCTAATATGCAAATCAACCAAACAGCAGAATGGCCAGTAACTGTGACACACACTGACCTCCAGAGGCAGACACTCAATGCAAGAGCTGCCCCCTGGTGGTCAGTGCACTCCCACAGGAGGAGTGCCATTCAGCCAGAAGCTGGGTTCATGGCTGGCGAGTGCAGCAGTGGTGGCCGGAGCCTCTCCCACCGCTGTGGCAGTACTAAAGATGTCTGACTGATGTCCTCCAGAGGGAGGGAGCAGGCCTATGCTGTCAGTTGGACATGCCCCAAGGGCTCCCAGACTGCAAGAGGGTACAGGTTGGGCTGAGGACCCCCCTCAAGTGTACAAATTTTGTGCACTGGGCCTCTAGTCCTATAGAATGAAAGCCCAGAGACCAAAATTGTGGAATTAACAGAACAACCAGAGATCAGAAAATTGTGGTCCCTTGCCCCAGCTGGCCCTGCCCCCCAGGAAGCCATTAGGGATGATCAGACAGGCAAGCAGAGTGGTTAGGACAATCAGGCAGGCAGGTGAGTGGTTAGGGGTGATCAGGCAGGCAGGAAGAGGCAGTTAGGGGTGATGAAGCAAGCAAGCAAAGTGATTAGAAGTGATCAGGTAGGCAGGTAGAGGCAGTTAGGGTCAATCAGGCAGGCAGGTGAGCAGTTAGATGGCAGCAGTTCCAGATTGTGAGAGGGATGTCTGACTGTCAGTTTAGGCCTGATCTTGTGGGGGGGAAAAACCCTAAATTGGCAGTCGGATATCCCCCAAAAAAGTCCCGGATTGCAAGAGGGTACAGGCTGGGCTGAGGGACCCCACTCCAACCCCCCATGCACAAATTTCATGCACCAGGCCTCTAGTCTTGTATATAATATAGCATAGATTTTTATACTCACTAGATCTGGTTATAAATCTGGTTTTAAATCTTCAACAAGTTACTTGTCCTTTCTGAATCTTAATTTTTTCAGATGCAAAACAGAGATAACCATACTTACCATTTAGAATTTCTAGAAGGACTACATGAAAGAACACCTGTAAGAAACCTGACTCATACAAAATATACAGAAAATGTTAAACATTGATCTTGTGTGGGCTTTTGTTGTTACTTATATTCATTTAACTTCTGTCCTTGATGGTAGGGCAAAGCTAAGTTCTATCAACATGGTCTTTACCTGTGAGGTTCCCTTCTGGCCTGTGGTGTTTATCAAGCTCCTCTAAGTTAGTGGGACTCTAGTTCCTATTCAGTCTCCACAGCAATGGGAAATTGCTGAAATCTCTACTCTGCTATTTCACCTTCCTACATATTGTTTGTTTTCCCTGGGATCCTTGATATTTTTCTTTGCATATGCATATTTCAGGGGTTAGCCAAGAATTGGGGAAGAGTTTATACACAGATTTTGAGACTCCCACCTCAGTGGTCCCCTACATATGGGACTTTCCTTCATGGGCATTCCTAAACTCCCTCCTCTGATGTCTCAGAAACTGTTACTCTCTTATTGAGGTCTATATTGCCCCTCCACCCTGCAGATGGGGAGTGCCTATAAAAAAAAAACTGGTATGTAGATTTCACTTTTACTGCAAGAGTCTAATTTCCTGAAGTTTCTACCTGCTTTTGGTCGCTTTCTAATGCCTTTCAACAGTGTATATTTTTCCCAAACATTATGCCCAGAACTTAAAATTGTTAGTAGCAGGAGATTTAGTTCCATATAAACTTTTTTAAACCTAATGGAGGCTGGAAGTCTGTGTTATGAAAATTTTCTCTCCTAAGTATCTTTTGAATCTTTTTATCATTATCTTCACTATCTCTCCTGGGGACCATGTTCAGTTTTCATGAGGATTGATAGATAATCACCTCCATATTTGTTCTACTTGAAAGAGTCTTAACACCCTACTTAAAACCACATGCAACACCTTCCCATTGGTTTCCGCTTAAACTCCAAGCTCCTTTAATTGGCTGAAAAGTTTCATATTTCTTATTCCTGACATAAACCCCTTGATCATTTTCTATAAACCCTTTGATGATTACATTCCAGCCAAAATAAATACCCTTACATTTCATAGAATATGCTGTGAGCTCCTGATACTTTAAATTTTATAGTGTTCCCTCTGTCTGGAATATTATTCCTTCTGCTTTTCATTTGACTAGTATCATATCATTTCTTGGGCTTTTACTTTTTCTGGTATACTTTCTTATAGACCATTTATATTAGGCTGGGGTATCTGTTCTGTATTTCTACAGTACCCATACTCCATCATTTCACTTATAAATGCTATTGAAAATTTGCTTATTTTGTCTAATAATCTATAAACTCTAGGAAATCATGGAAAATATCTTCTCTCATCAGTACTATACAGTGTTAGCATAGTACTCGATCTCTAATTAAAGCACAATAATGGCTAATATAATAATCTATACTAATAAAAGAGAAACATGAAAATTAATCATCACTCTGCTATGCCAACAAGCCATGCCCACCAGCCAATTAGGAGCAAGTATGCAAATTAATCCAACCAAGATGATGGCTGACCATGGAGCTGGAGCAAGCAGGAGGCTTGGATTTCCCTGGCAATGAAGGATTCCAAGCTTCCTTCCCTCCCTGGCCAGCCCTAGCCTCCACTCAAGGCTTCATAGTTTCAACTATAAAAGATAAATAAATCCCAACAAAAATTTCAGCAGCCATGGAGCTGAAGAGAGCAGGAGGCTTGGGTTTCCCCTGGTGATGGAGGAAGCCAAACTTTCCACCTGCCCTGGCTGTCCCTGGCTTCCACTCAAGGTTACAAAGTTTCAATTATAGGAGATAAATAAATCCTAGTTATTTGCTTCCAGCTGGCACTGGCCTCCACTCAAGGAGGTGCTAAATAAATAAGAAATAGAAAAAAATGGAGGAGCTGAGACTTTGGGTCCCCAGGGGGTGATCAGGCCAGGATGGGACAGCAGAGGCTGTTGGGGGCAAACAGACCAACAGGAGGGCCAGTTGGGGGTGAGCAGGTCATCAGTAGAAGTCAGTTGGTGATGATCAGGACAGTGTGAGGGAAGGAGGTTTGGAGTGAGCAGGCCAGCAGGGGAGTAATTGGGGGCAAGCAGGCCAGTGTGGAGGGGAGGTGGGGATGGCAGGGGGACAGTTGGGGGCGAGCAGGCCAGCAGGCAGAATGGTGAAGGGCAATCAGACAGGCAAGCAGGCAGGTGAGCGGCTGGAGCCAGCAGTCCCGGATTGTGAGGGGATGTCCGACTGCCAGTTT